CTATGTAATAGATGTTATAATTTGTTTTATCATATAGTTTCGTGTAGTAGTGGTGGCATCCACACGATATACACTTACATATATATATATGAGTTACATCATTATTGCTTTCACTACTAATCTATATTCCGGACTCGTACGTATACTATACAGACTTACGTTGGGTGCGTTCGAATTGGTCCAACTATGCACAAAATCCATCTCACAAAATATCTTCCAATCACAGATGTATTTGCAAGCATAACATCCTAATGATAAACAAGTTTATTTACAATGAAATTTGAGGCATGTAAATGAAGATCAGCACACATTGGAATTAAAATCTAAACAGGAATCACTGGTGTGACGCTGCGCTTGAAGCATTACATGTGTATTTTTTAACAATATTTCCCATATTTGTTCTGTAGTCATAGCCTGGTTATTTTCTATAGTTTTGATATTATAGTTCACTTCGTTATCGAATCATTTAATTTTTCTGATGTATACACACACACACATATTGGTAAAGACTATACGAAGTAACTAGAATATATGTGAATATTTTCAGTATATATATAATTTATCACTCCTCCGCTCTTACCGTCTATCGTTGGAATGTAAAATTGGCGACAGGAGTGACAACTTTTTTGAACGTAATGTCATCAACGAGATTACCAACGTGTTTTACATGTTGAAAGACCTGTATACAAGTCTGTCCAAGTCTATGCCTGGGTGGATTCTATGGACTGTCTTGTCTGCAGAGAGCCTTGCGTATAGTTTACCATTGTCACTCCATTTATCGCTGACCCGATCATCGAATGATAGACTATCCATCAAGTGTTGGTTTTCCCGCGAAAGGTCATCCCTGATAACTATACCCCTTCCTTTGAGCTTGTGACGTTTCTGGATACATTCTATTTTTGTACGGCGACACATAAATTTGACGATGATAGGTCTTGCTTTATTGGATCTGTACTTGCCCAACCTGTGAGCTACGTCAATATCTGTATTCTCGATTTCCATGTTCAGATCGGATTTCAGGAAACTATGAACCTTCCGACAGGTTTTTTCCATGTTCTCGTCTTGTTCGTCCGCCAGGCCGAATACTCGGACACTTGACTTCCTAGTGTACTGTTCGAGCTCGTTGATGTCATACTGAGCCTTCTCTGCAGTAAAGCCGACTTCAGCCACTGTATCTTCATTTCTCTCTACGTTTTTTTCCAGATACTCTATGCGCTTTGTCATAGCGTCGTTTGACATTTCGAGAGTGAAAACTCGGGACTCGAGCTTTTCAACTTTTATATTTAGCTCCTCAATGATATCCCTTTTCACTAATTCTAGGTCCTCCTTAGTGGCCATTGTTTTAAACTGCTGCGACATATCCTCCGATGTGACCATGTCTGATAGTTTTAATGTAATGTCATTCATTTTTTCCTCTAGGAGTTTAAAATTTGTCATCATGTTGGCACTGAACTTTTTTAGTTGCGCGTCCATTTTGAATGTATGTAGCGTCGCTTGATTGTCCGAAATTTTTGCGCGCTTGACGACCTTTTTAACTTTTGGAATAACTTTGTCGCTATCAATAAAACTTCTGTCCGAACTGGATGTTGATACAGTTTTCCTCTTCTCTGCCATTTACGTTTAGTTTGTCGTTTATATGTGCTCAACAGACTGTCCGTCGGGCGTGCACGGGCAATATACATGTATCAACACTATACACACACTGACAAAGGGTTCAGCCGACTGTAAAGTTTTTTCACTATAATTGTCTCTATTCGAAAACCATCTTATTCACATGATTCCATAGATGTTTTGTAAATATCAAATGTTTTTCACATAAGTAAAATATTTGGCAAATGATGATAGTCAGAATGAGAACTTCTCAATGTCCGCACATACCACGTATACGTTTTCTCGTTCACAATGGGTTCATTTTTTTTCACAAAGTACTCACTTTTGCGTGGGGTTCGTTCCATACATTTTCCACTCCTATGTATTACACATCCATACGGTTGGAAAAGTATAACACATTCGTAGTTAATTGTTGAAAATAAGGTGAAAATGTTTTGAAAAACCTGGGACCGATGTTTTACACGTCCTCACGCCGTCAAGGGCGATAACTCTCCTGGCGTTTGAACATATTATATAAGACAGTTGTTCAATTGTGTGTATTGAAGAAAACAAATTCGCTTAATTTTGAAAGATAAAAATCGATCTAAATCAACCAGTCATATCCCCGTAAGCATTATGTGAAACGTATCATACTTTGCTGCGATATCACACTCTGAAGTTTAACTTTTGTTGCGTCCAAACTCAAGATAAATGAACATTTTGGCGGAAGTGTTTAATTAGCGGTCTTTTCCCACCGTAAAAAAAAGTGCGAAAAATATAAATACTGCGGAAACTGCCACTTATAACAATAATTTTGGTGTATTCTTTTAATAACCAAGAAAACATAAGGTAATTTTTTATATTTTGCACCGAATCTATAATAAGCAAATTGTTTCAATATGTATTTTTATTTTTAAAGCCTTTATATTAAATTGTTTTGTTAGATACGTGATGCCGAGGGATTTGTTAAATGGTTAAATGGAACATTCTACTCAAACTATCTTCCAATATCCCACTACAACGGAGAAAGTTTGGGAGCCAGGGATCGATTTTATCTTAATGATCTGGTAAACACGAAGATAGGACCAGCACGTCTTCGCCTTGTCCGCATGCGCAGAGGTACGAACAGCTACTTGCTTAGCTTTACAAAAATAGGGGGGGGGGGGGTAAAAAATGCATTTCTCCCTGGCATTATTTTATCATTTTTGTTCTATTTTTTTGTTTTTTTATCTCGGGTGCAATAAATAATGTTTATTTTGAAGATAACTATGATATTGATAACGTTCAAAGTTGTTTAGATAGATTTTATCAACGAAAAATGAGGAAAATATACAAGTGTTACCTAAAGTTTTACTACTTGTTTTTAACTACGTTATAGATTTCCAACAACTTTTCTACGGTGTATAGCCAATGAGAAGTTTGATTTCCTGACAGGCTTATGGTATTTCGTATATTTACTCTATGTTCAAACAGAAATAATTTCAGAAAACGGGCCTTTTAAAACGTAAAAACATTTTCACTTATTTGCATGAATGCAGTAAATGTCGCAAAGATATCAGCATAACAAAATCATGCAAGGTACCGTTTTTAGATGATTATTTAAAAAAAAGAATATTAGAATATTGGAGATACAGCAAAACAAAACGTTTTGGGACTCTTTACTTTTAGTTAAATTTACTTCGCAACGTATTAATGGCATATACATTTTATTTATTTTTTATTGTATTTTGTCAAAATTATTTTAGCTCGCCATGAGCAATTATATATGTTTTATTTTTGGTATGTTCCAGGCGTGTGCCGGAATTTAATTAAGAATCGAGACTGTGTTCCTAGCTACGACATGTATGAGGAAGACGAACTGTCCTATTGTGTTGGCTGGAATGACAACACGTCCACAACTTGTAACAGTCGGTATCTGTACACTATGGATGCTTGGAGGTACAAACGGTCCGAGGACATATGGGGTATACCTATAACAGGCGAATATGAAACATACGGAGGCGGGGGCTACATCATGAAGCTCGACAACAGACTTGAGAACTCCATTAACATTGCATATGAGCTGATATGGTACAACTGGATCAACAGGGCGACAAGAGCTGTGTTCTTGGAATTCACAATTTATAATGCTAACACAAACCTGTTCGTATACATGATTTTCCTAACAGAGTTCACGGAAAACGGCGGCCTCCTGACATGGGTCGATGTCTATCCCTTTAGGCCCTACCAGCACACGGGTGCCCTTGGTGTGTATGCTCTCATTTGCTACTTTATTTACTTAGTAGCATTGGTAATTGAAATAATTAAGTTGATCATGAAATTTAAAAGTCAAGGTTGTAAGTGTTTACGCGTTTCCTGGAACTTGATTGACGTTCTTTCTGTGGTATTGAGCTGTGTTGCTGTATCGCTGTGGGTCCTAAGGTTCGTCTATTCGAAACAGGCGATGAGCTTGTATTACGATGACAAAAATGCTTTTGTCAATTTTCAGCACGTAGTTATATGGGACATGCTGTTTAATGTAATGTCTTCAGCACTGGTATTCATCTCCAACATACGATTGCTCCGCCTTCTTGGATACAACAAGAGAATGTCACAGCTTTCCAACGTCATATCTAATGCTGCCACAGACTTGACAGGCTTTGCCGTAGTATTTAGTATCGCTTTCCTTGCATGGGCGATGTTTGGGTATCTAGTCTTTGGGTCCCAAATGTACGACTACAGAAGTGTGTTTACTGCAGTGGGAAGTCTCTGCAACTCATTGATTGGCAAAAACAAACTCGACATCATGATCCAAGCGTCGCCAACGTTGGCTAAACTGTTTTACTTTTCGTATGTCCTGTTTGTGATGATGATCCTTATGACCATGTTTGCCGTAATTTTAAATCAGAGCATAAACGTCGTTAGATGTGATACTGCAAAATGTCCGGATACTTATGGAATTATGGACCTGTTGACCAAGTCAGTATACGCCATACTCGGGATAGCAAACAAGAACCGTATACGCCAAATCCCAAGAGATACATTCGGTAGTAAGTAGTATAAATATAAACCCTCATTATTCAATAAAAAATTAACAATATTTTCCGTTTTGATGATAAAACATGATCATTTGCTGTTGATATTGATTGTAATTCCAACTTCTTTTTTTTATCACTTATTCATAACAATATTACCCAATACATCATACATTGAATTATAACGCTCTTGTACATATGTTTAAATTATTATTATTTATTGGAACAATCGTCCGCATCGATGATTCAATAACAAAGATAATGTTATAGTTATTGTATAAAAAAAATGTATATGAATTTAATTTCATATTATTTTTTATTTATCATAAATATACTTTTTGATAATTAATATTTCATTTTATATTCTCTCTTTCCGAAGACTATCTTCCGGAAGGCAGTTCCAATGCACATCTTGATACCACCAACATTTTGAGAACTATGAGAGACATCTTCGGTGGCGGTTGGTTAAACAAGGTTTGTAATTTATAATCTGTGTTTATCTCGGAAAACATACCAGATACACTACATTATTCATAATTACTTGAATTTGACGTTGCTTATTTGAAGATTATCACAATTGGGATACCATTTTATTTTACATTACAGAAAATATGCACTAGTTCATAGTGTAAAATCGTTGGTTGTAAATTATAAAGCTTATAACGCATTTCGGTATATATTAAGGATATGTTCTTATTTTCTTTTTTTCTGTTACCATGGCCAAACATACATACTATAGTTTGTGGAAAATATCTCAAAAACTTTCAAGTTTACTACATTATTGCTTTATATGCAAACCAATTAAGTGGTTAAGTTATGCCTTTAGCTATCAATGAGTTTTATTTTCAACATGTTCCTGTTTACACAGAAACAAATCCATAAAGAATGAAATTTTGTTGTTTTGAGCATATATCAAAAACCACAAAGAATTACATCATAAAGCAACTGGACTTGACACAATGATGTTCCCCATAATAGTTCAACCATGGTTTCACAATACAGGGTCAGTCATGAATTGATATTTTTCGTTAAGAGGCCAACAATGGTTACAAACTCTATATGATCAAACCAACCAATCAACCATGGCCTTACTATGCTGTAAACATGGTCAAACCATGCTGTTACTATGATCAAAAATGGATGACTGTGCTTTTGAACATTAGCCATGGGTGATTTGGTAATGTCTTTTGTCAAACTTCTATAATTCCATCCCTCACCCTCCACCCTTGAAATCTGTTTTGTCTTTCACATTTCCCGTAGTGGGGGATCTGAATGACATTGTCCTTATTTCATTTTTTTAACTATTGACATGATACAAGCTTTTTGTAACTTGTTACTTATTTCCTGTAGGCGACACTCGACGGAAGTCCATGGGAGGAGAAGGAGGAGAAGGATATGGAAATTAACTGTTCGCCAGATCTGGAGGAACGACCACAGGACAATGCCTTGTTTCGCGAGTTTATGCCAGAACTGTTCAGTCTACCGATCTCAACCACAGAACGAACCAACGAGAAATACCGTAATAAACATTTATATCTATCATACACGTGATTCTGTCAATCAAATACTATTTGCACAACTACTGCAAACAAAATCATCTGAATGATCCCTGTACTACTGTCAAAAATGTAACTATGCTTAGGAAATATATTTTCTCCGTATACTATATACTCCAGCCAGTTTTCCTCTCGTATCTTACCCTGATAACCTTTTCTTTGAACCCCTTTTGCACTTCTTCTTTTCGAATCCTATATGTATATCATGATTGTATTTCTGGAATATTCTATCGACAATGAAATAAAGTTTAAACTAAACATACGTTCTCTGGCAAGACAATTGCTTCGATAAATCATTTTTGGAAAGATAGGCATACAATCATGTACCTTGTGGAACATTAAAACAAATTATTAAGGTCGAAGAAACAAAATCAACAATATCTTCTTAATAAAAAAAAAATGTAATGGGACCATGATTCGAACCCTTGACCTAAGATGATTATACTGTAGCTCTAACAAAGTTAACTAGAGCTACATGTACATGTACCAGAACTTCGGTAGTACTCTTGCCAAATTGCGCTACAGTTACACACAAAATACGGGGAGATAACTGTATAAAAGGAAAACTACACTGACATTACAAATCCTTTGCATGCAGTGGGACAGAGATCCTTTAATTTTTAACAAACTTCAAATTATGTTCATTAGTACATGTTCATCATCATATATCAATTGCTAAGTAAAAAATAGATCTGTTTATCATCATATCTAAATCTACTTTTAACAGTGTATCTATGATTCTGATTTGAAGTCGATGGAAAATGTAGTTGTTAAGATAAGTAGGTTTGCTAATTGGTGCTTCATAACGTCCACATTGGATAATTTTAAAAGAAAGTTGAATATGTGTATGGCAATGGTAAGACTTGTCTTATATAGACAACCAGCTGTGCAATAAACAGACATGGTTTTTAAAAAAAATGCAAACCAGGGTTATTCTGTATAAACAGTTGTTCATACGTTCGTTCAAAATAAACAATGAATATAAAAAAATACATGCAAGGCAGGAGAGCCTAAATAAGATCAGTACCCGAACCAGATCACTTTTTGCATTTAAAATATATGTGTTAACAGTTCAAACAGCTGAGTAATTTATTGTTTTTAGTTTAAATTACACAAGAAGACGAACTGCGAATTCCAAATAAAGGATTTTCTTTACGTTGTTAAAAATGGCGCGTGTGAGGACAATGCCTTCTGTTTCGGACTGCAGTCATAAATTTAGCCTAATTACGTACTTGAATTCACGTTAATTCCGAAGTTCACCAGATTTTTTTTAAATGTTGACAAAAAACTATTAGTTTGAAACGTTACATATTGCTAAATTCAAACCGTGATCCGATCGAAAACGTCAATTGGTGGCGTCGGAGTGTTCCATGAATATTTCATTGATAAGAACACTCATCGATATTCTTCTTTTGATGTAACCATTAATGAATATAATTTGTGCTGTGAATTTTCAATGAATAAATTAAAGATGATTTGGTGATCCATATTGGGTACTGTCACCTCAATATGTAACTATTTTTCGCTAGGATACTTACAATGTTTTTAATTAGTTAATTAAAAAATGTACAATTTTGTGTATAAGCTGATAAAGTTATATAAAGTTCCATGCTTGTGTTTTTCGTTGCATGTACTGACAAAACTGTTTTTTGCTATAACAAATACATTATATGCCTTTTTATACTATGTGAAGTTTCGGAATATGCATTACAATACGGTAGTATTGCTTTCGTGCAACTAAACAGTCGTGCATATTGACTGTATATTTAATGATAGAAATGTGTTTTCGTTACGTCAACGCTGACCTGTAATTGTTTTGTTTTCATGTTTCAAAATATCGACCTAAACTTGACCTGTCACAATTTGTGATGAAATTTAATTTGTTTGATCTATGATACAACTGTATACACGAATGCATTATTAAGACACATACTGTAAACGTATATATTTTAGCGGTAATCTGATATCAGCGCTGTTCGCACTTTACGTAATGCGCTAAATTTTGACTACGCTTTTTGAAGTTTCTGTATCTAGTTTCCAATAACGCGAGTGCGCCAACTCATCCATTCGCTATTCCCTTAACATTTGATAATACGCTAAGATTTGCGTCCGCTAAAATACCACTTTTACAGAACTATATATGTGAAATTCAACAATCGGTCGTCATTGTTGTAAAGTTTTAATATGCTGTTCCTATGATGCAGTTTGTCCACGTCATTATAAAATCGTTAAATGAGTTATAGCGTGATTTATAATTTATAATTTATGATTTACCTTGAATGTTTAAATTGTATATTCATATTGTTATAATTTTTTTCTTAATGAAGTATGTATGTACTGGTATCAAATATATTTACACCACAATAGACCTTCAATGCTTTTTTAGTGATTATCTTTTAATGGCCGTGGCTGACCGTTACAGGACGAAGCGAACATACCTCATACCGGGAAAGTTTTATCTGATCAAACATCCGCCTTTCACCTGAAAATACATGTCCTACCAGTGTAAAGTACCATTTCCTGATAAAATATGCTGTGTACTGAGAATCGCTTAAGAAATCAATTTGCCGTCAATACCAAAGGAGAAAAAGTTAAACTGCGACAAAAACAAATCCCAGTGTACAGTATTATTTGCAAAGAATATAACTGTAAAAAGTGTATCTTACCTTTGTAGTATATATAATTGTTTGTAGTACATCTTTCTGTTTTTTAGTATAAATGAATGTTTTTAATTATCACTTTTAGTGTATATATATTAATTGTCTTCAAACATGTGTCGGTTCTGCGATGATTTAGTCGGTGATTACCAAGGTTAGAGTAGAAAAAAGACCATTCAAGCTCCGCAACATAATGCATTTTAAAGGATCATTTATAACGGGCAGACATTTTGTCTTATTTATCTATATATATATTATAGTGTTGCTTTGCTATGACCTGCTGTAGATCGTCAGCAGGTTCACACTTTTATCGGATCCGGAAGCATATGTTCTATCTGTTGCTGCAATATCGTTTGCCATGTATACTGTATAAAACTGATTATATGGTTTCTCACTAGGGTAGTGCGGGTTTTTTTTTTTTTTTCCTTTGAGCATTATTATGCTTGTTTGTACCTAACTATCTGAAAAAAATCCAAAATATTTGTGGTGTATACATTTTTTTGTTTTTGTATGTATTTTAGTGTCAGTAAAAGTACCCTTATGGTTTTAAGTATTTTATTAACAATTTCATATATATATTTATATATATCAACATGTCAATGTTATATTACTCAATATATGATTGTGAGAGATTAACTTTACCGTTTATCAGCGAAGAGACTCATTTGCGAATTTTAATCCTTGGGAAATTATCGAAATAGCATCCTCTCGGTCACGAATTCAAGTATTAATTTAAAAAACCTCGAGACATAATTCACGAAATTAACTGCACGTGAAATTATTTATAGTGTCTTAATTATTTGTTCGTATCCGACACTTTAGTGATTTTAGATACAGACAAACCTGTTATGCAACCAGCTCTCTTAAGAGACCATCTGTGTTAAGAGACCACCTGTGTTTAGAGACCACCTGTATTAAAAGACCACCTGTGTTAAGAGACCACCTGTATTAAAAGACCACCTGTGTTAAAAGACCACCTGTGTTTAGAGACCACATGTGTTAAGAGACCACCTGTGTAAAGAGACCACCTGTGTTTAGAGACCACCTGTGTTAAGAGACGACCTGTGTAAAGAGACCACCTGTGTTAGGGAAACGATAAATATTCCCCCTTGTACTAATGTCTTTGAGAAATGAGCCTGTATTAAGAGACCACACCTGCGTTAAAATCCAACATTTCCGCCTTCTTTTTGGTGGTCGTTTAAAGAAATTTGACGGTTTCATACTGTTTACATATTTGTCAGTGTTTAATTAATTTACTGCTAAAGGGTGTCGTCTAATATGTGTTACAAAAGCTTTTCTATAGTTGACATACACTGAAACTTGTCTTATCCGACAATCTATGGAATCCAAATGTTTTTCTGAATTTGAATGTCACCATAAAGAGGTTTGATTTGGTTGAATTGTATAACTACAGAGATAACAGGTTTAATCATTACATGGATAAAAGGTAAATGTATAATAATTACATTATGTCGATATACGCATGAGTCAAATTGGACAAGTCTCACTGAATATTTATAATGTTATACTGAAAGTGCGATATCATGTACAGTTCTTGATGTTTATCATAATAAAGTTTATCTTTATCAAGCAAGTTGTTCGCTCTCTTTTTTACTTATTGAGATATTGCCATTTAACATAGGACACTATCGGGTTCTGCTTTGATGCAAACTGATTCACATGCTAATCGGGGATTCAGAAAAATGCTGTTACCCACTGCATGATCGAAAGGGGCGACTAATGTATGAACCCCCTGCAGAATGAGGGATTTGCGTTGGTGCCCTCTACTTTAGGACACAAACGCAGCAAAATCAATCACCTGCACCAAATGCAATATTTGGGACCTTCACATTTCTTCTCATTCTATTTACCTGTTGTTTGCCAGTGTCTTGATTGGCAATACCTTCATTTTTGTTTTAATGTTGAATTTTCACAAAGGTAAAAAGGGCAACGAGTTGCGTCCCCATGCGAGGACAAAATGTGACTTATTATTCCCTTCTTGACGTTCAGCATTAAGGGTAATGGCAACAACTGGTTCACCAGTAAATGCACCTTGAGGTCACTTTTGATCAAGGCTTCATACTGCTTTGTTTAAAAGACAATCTTCGAAGTTGAAATGTCAAATCCAAAATGACCGCCTGCGACAATCTTTTTTGTCTTTTCAATCAGTCTCAAAATAATACACGCACCATTTAGGACAAACAAACTTTTCAAAATCCAAGATGGCAGCCTGGCGGCCATGTTGTTTTTAATATGAGTCTCCTTATGAAATACACACAACAGGGGACCAAGAGGAATATTCGTATGATATTTGAGAAAGATCCCTCCTGTTCTCTCTGAGATATAGCGATACCAAATTTTAATTTTAATAATCAAAGATAGGCCCCTGTTAACAATTTTGTTTATTTCATCAGTTTAAACATGAACAATTTAGGATCAAGGGGAACATACATACTCACATATTTGAGAGGAGAGATCCACCCACCCAGTATTTAATGAGTAATAGCAATATTAAAACTCAACTGTCAAAATACAAGATGGTCGCTGTTCAGCCATTTTGTTTAACTCATCAGTCTTAAAAGTGAACATGCACAACGAGAGATCAAGGTAAACCTACATATCAAATTTGAGAAAGATCCCTCTAGCACTTCCTGAGAAATAGCAATAACAATCATGAAATGTCAAAATCAAAGATGGTAGCCTGTTGGACACTTTGTTTAACTGATCAGTCTCAATAGTTGACATGCACAACTGCAGTCCAACGGGAACCTGCATATTAAATTTGAGGAAGATCCGTCAAGTATTTTCTGAGAAATAGCGATAACAAACCTGTACTGTCAAAATCAAAGAAGGCCACCTCTCGGCCATTTTTAATATCTGATCGGTATCAAAGATTAACATACACAACGACAGACTAAGAGAATAAACCTTTGAAATTTGAGAAAGATCGTTTTATTATCTCCTGAGAAATAGCGAAAAGAAACCTTCACTGTCAAAATCCAAAATGACCGCCATTCGGCCATTTTGTTTATCCGATCAGTCTCAAAAGTTAACAAGTACAACAGGGAACCGAGGGGAACCTCCATATTAAAAAGAAAGATGCTTCCAGTTCTTTCTGAGAGATAGCGATAGCAAGAAATGTTTAAAGACGGATCACGGATGGCAGCATATATTTGCTCCTTTGACAGGTAAGTCATCGAAATGAATTATTAGGAGCTTTGTTATGTTCATTTTTGGAAATATCTTATTCATAATGGTAATATAACCGGTTTGCTTTGTACATATTCATGAATGATACATAAACCCAGGTTGTATGATACCTTGAGTGGAAACCAATTAGGTTGCATTTGCAAAAATGCCTTTTCATGTGTCATCACTATTATAAATTGCTCTGTCATGCACGTAATTGACCACATATGCTGATGCAAATGTTGATAATAAATATACATATAACCTGCAGGATGTAAGGGCATGGATCAATTGTTACATGACAACTGGTGATATCGCAAATGAACGTGCTTAACGACATGATAATAGTGATTTTTGCATGTTATGTTTTTCGCAAAGCGTTTTAAATAGCGTTTGTATATATATACGACCTGTTAACTGTTTGGTAAACACGGCAAATCAGATCGTTTTTACAAAAATAGATTGATTACATTTGAAACCCACCTTTGCTCAAATTTAAGTCTCCTTTTTCTCTTCTTTTTCTTTTTCTTCTTCCTCTTCTCTTCTTCTTTTTCTTCTTTTCTTCTTTTCTTCTTCTTCCTGCTGCCGCGAACTTGTTTGCTGATTTTCTCGGAAACAGCAAGTCGGTTTATAATGAAACTTTCAAGAGTATTGGCGTATCTTTCTAGATGTACCAAACAACTTTTCTATTTTAACTGCTCTTCCAAGATGGCCGCCATGGTCTCCACCTTTTTCTCAGAAACTACAAGGCAGATAAAAATGAAACTTATCATGAGTCACTGCAATATCCGGGTAGGTTTTGCTAACAGAATTATCAATTACGCATCATGTATGTAAATTCCTTAATGTATTTCCAATGATGTGCAAAAACTACCACTTATTCTACCGTCGCTTCAGCTGCAGCTTAACAGGTAATCTACGGCAGTAAATTGAAAACACCATTTGTATTGGTTAATATTGACTCGATACTGGCCCTTATAACATTTTGTATATCTTCACCGTACTGACATTTAACTTTTTTTCTTAATGAAAAAATCTAATATTTCACTGATGAACTTGTAATCAATTGTTCTTTAATCTTTGAAAACATATTTATCTTAAAAATTGTCCAATTCTTAATGAATGACAGCTGATATGAAAATGACACTCCACAGATTCATCAAAACTTGAAAAAAAACCTCGTCAGTCATATTTTTTTCATATCAATGTCTATGCTCTATTTTGACTGTGCAAAATATACTTGTAAGTTTTACTCGTGAATATGTGAATTTGTAAATATGTTATGAAAATAAAAGATACGAAAGCACCTATATCTTATTGAAAGGATGATATTTCAATATGTATTGTACAGTGTGGTTGTTTATTTTCGAGGATGTAAAATTTTGTTTCGGGAACTTTTTCGCGAGGATTTATTTTCGCGAATCACAATTTATTCAAGTCATAAATAGTGGCTTATTAACTTCAATCGTATGTCAGAGTTGTTGTCTTATTTTAATGGATTTTGTGAACTTAAATAGAAGAAATTAGTTTGTTACGATCTCGGGTAGAGTCAGTGGTTGAGAATGGGAAAACTAGGGGGTACGACAATAGCAGTCCCATTAAACCGGTTAAGCTCGTAAAATCTTACACGAGAGAGTCTCCTTCATTCTCGCGAGCATAACACGGATTTTAACCCAGTGATTAAATTTAAAGAGGCATGAAACATTATAAAAAGACATATTTCCATTTATCTTATGAATACCGTATTATGCAGTGTCATAAAGACATCAAATACATTATGTTTATGTAACGTGTGTAATTTCACTCCGGAAATGACGTCACAATCGAATAGGAACAATCAATGTATGCAAAATATTCGTTTCATATCACAATTATTCGGTTTACTTTGTATTATATTATCAAAAGAATCTGTCATTCGTTTCCCGTCATACTATATTTATGATACTTGTTTTGGATCATATATCTAATCTGAAGGGACACGATTGGCAGATCCTCTATATATTATTTATATTTTGTAAAATTATCTCCTGTTCAAATGAGTGTTGGTGGCGCCACAGTTACGCATAAAGAGCAAGCCGTATGTGAGAATCTCCGAAAGTAGTAAATCATTTATAAATTTACATCGCTTCAAACATGTCAGTAAGCCCTACTCTTACACAGCATAATACAACAAACCTTTGAATTGTGCTACTTCGTCATTACAGAGAAACAAAACATAAATCCATACTGATAGATAACAATGAAGTGTCGATACACAAAAATAATAGAACAGACAAATAATCAATATCAATTAGGCGTAGTTCACATTCCGCTACACTTCATGTAAACAATTATATACACTTTTCATATAGGTATCAACAATATCATTTTAGTTCTCATTTGAATGGAACACTTCATTACCGGGACACATATGTTAATAAATATTGAAGGGGAACAATATTCATATTTTCCTTTCTTTGTTATCGTGTAGGTAAACTATACCAGACAACATCACTAATGAAGTAATGAATCGAGGGGGAGAAATACACGATCTCTTTTTTCCTTAACAAACGGAGGATTAATGTTTAATATTAATTTCTGTAATATACTGTCTACCGTTCAGGAGAAACTCTCAATAATATGCTGTCTATCTTCCAATAGTTACTGTCTATAACATACTGTGTACCTTTCATGAGTCACTTTCTATAATTTACTGTCTACCTTTCAGGAGTGACTTTCTATAATACACTGTCTACCTTTCAGGAGTGA